ACGCACTTTTGGATATAGCAACGCGTCCTTGCTTGCAGCGCGTCGTTACGAATAAGAGAGAAAGCTATATAGAAGAGGACAATGCCGAGCTAGATTAGGAAGTTAACATTTGAACAAGGCGCGTCCTATCGAAGTTAATACTCTATCTTAATGTGTCGTTCCATCTACAGACGGGGTTGTAAATGCGACCATAACGACTGCGCTAGTATTGAACAGCAGAACGCGTCTGCTTAGTTCGTAAAGCTTTTTCTAAGCATATCGAGAAGGCTGCGGAAAGTTAGGACACCTATACTTGAGGGATTTTGCTCTCTCTAGCCTGTCGCGAGTCGTTACGAATCGCGAGCTTTCTTTCACGTACTTCTGCGAAGAATATCGGCGTAACAAACTTTTTCAGCGCGACCTTTGGCTAATTGACGCGTCTGGCGCGCTAATACGCGTCTGTTTCTAGCTCGATCGTTTGCGGTCTTTATGGTTCGCAAGACTCACGATGCGGCTCTTCGACTCGTTTCTAATCGCACCCTAGTTCTAGTCCTCATCGTTACTTAGATGCACTACAGCCTCTTCTAACGCTCTCTTGTAGTCCTCGAAGCACCGAATGATCTAGCTTGTAGATGTGGCCTCTAAAAAAGGGAGTATAGAACATTTGAGCAGCTAGAGTTTTCTAATCTTGCGGCAGTTCCGCGTCCTTAAGACTAGGAACATTAACAGTTAAACATTGCTTGTTAGCTAGCCGCTTCCTAATTCTCCCCACCTCTAGGTTGTAGAGATCTATAAGACAAAAATACTTACTTGTATAGCGTCTTTATGCATTAGAATGTTTAGCGAGGACTTCTGCGACTAATAATTTTTCTATAGTAACAGGTAACGTTCTTCCCTTCTACTAACTAGTAGGAACATTCGTTATAGCGTCCTAACTAACAAGCCTATAAAAAGGTAGTAACGCGTTGCTTACAACGTAAATTACGCGTAGGTACAAGAGAGTCTAGAGTTTTCAGTAACTAGCGCGTACGCATTTGTTGTGCTAATTTTTTTTCTTTAGTTCACGGGTGAAAAGATGACCACCTATAGCAAATATCGAGATACTACCTCCTTCATAACGAGTCTTCAAGCTTGTATAGATAGAGCTAATTTGAACATACTCGAGATGTATACTTCCAGACGAGGCTGTGAATACTGTCTAGGCATCGAACTCACTTTTACACGCGTTCTGCGAGTGGGAACGATGCTGCGCGCAGATTGCTGGCCATAGACATGGCCTGCAGGAGAGCGGGTCCCTTAGGATTGAAGGAGTCTGCGAGGTGAGATCGCTGGCCGTCGACATGGCCTGAGGAGAGGGTCCCTCGGCACCGTGTGCGTTAGTGTTGTTAGCAAAGTCTGCTAGTGTAGACGATGCTGCGCGTGGTTCGCTCGCCGTCGACATAGCTTGCTGGAGGGAGAGTGGCATGTCCCCAACAGGCTAGACATACGCATTTGCTATTTACGTCTTATAGAGAATCTTTCAGAATCTCACTACAACTTGAACCTAGTTAGAAACATCTGTCGCGATGTTTGCGTCTGTATATATCTACGTCTATTAACGCCTCTGTTTACGCGTCGTTCAAACAACAGTACGCGCTTCTATGCCAAAACATTCGTTCCGATGTTGTAGCGCGGAATTAGATGCAGGAATACAATCGGTGTTGTCGCTTTGTAAAACGGACGCGTTTCGCTCCACGGGTATCTTACCAACGCGTCCGATTGAAATTCAATGTAGAACAGACACGTATAAAGCATAGTCAGAGACGGAACGCGTAAATCGTCGCGTAAATCGTCGCGTAGATCGTCGCGTACATTGAAAGTTGACGCGTGCAAATAAGTGCATATCTTACACTATAGGCTATAAAGCGCGTTGGCCATTCCGTTCTGCCTTCTTTTTTGCGTCTATATGTTCTGCAGAGCTTTTACGAGGCGCTAATCTCTTGCAAGCTCAATGTTCTACCCTAGTCTACAAGTATAAGAGTACAATAAGCAAGACTACTATGTTCGAGTTTATCATTTGCCAATAATCTTCGTGTCGTTCCTACATCTTGTTTACTACGTGCCAGTAGAGGTTATACCAGTTTCCGTCCTTAGCGCTCTTCAACGCTAATGTGCGACCGTGTTGCCGTTATTTCTTACAGCGATATAGGCAAAGATCCATCGAAGAAGTTGGTGTTCATTGGCAAACCATCAGGCTGAGCCTTCTAGATACGCCACGACCAGATTTCCCAATACGGCAATTTCCATTGAGTGCACGCGCCCTATCTACACGTCGAACTCATGTACTGCAGCAGTGAAAGCATCAACAGTGCTTTTCATTTTATTACTACAAATTATCACCTCGACATCACCTCCTGCGAAGCCATTGTCTCCGTCACTTGCATTATGCGACCAATATCGACGACTCCCATTCTCCACAGACCAACCGCAAGAAGACAAAGAGGCTTTGGAAAGACTCAGAGGGATACTCGAGGCGCTGAATCTGGATGCGCGCGTGTTTGCTAAGGCTTGTTAGCAGCTGAAGAACCAGCTACGGGACCAGCGCGTCCAACAAGCAAGAGAGAGAAAGCAAAGTTCAGGACAGCATCAAGCAAGACAAGGAGAGATACGAAGAACGTGCGGCGGCGAAAGCAAGGATACTACAAGAAGTGCCAACCCCAGCTTCGTCTCACCAAGCGCCGCGACCCTCAGAGCAGCGTGCTCAATCATTCACCCCAATATCAACAAGTACTATGTTGACCAGTCATCCACGCCAATGAGCAGTTCCAACACCACCCGGCAGCAGGAATTGGACGTCACCACACCCACTCTAGGGGTGTACGTCGAGCTCGAGAACGGTTGGACGGAAGCGAGTCCACTCCAAGACACCGTGCTTATAGTGAAGGAAAGTTCCCAGGCTGTCCTTCTCGGCGCTTTTCCCCAGCCAGCAGAGTGCTACCAATTGCGCAAGTAACAGCGCAACAAAGAGGCGGCGAGATGAATGAGGCGAGTCGATAAGTGAGTGATGGTCCTCGAGACGCCCAACGACGACTACTACACGCGACTACGCTAAGCGCGCGAACACTACTGATGCAACCTGTTCAATCCACGCTTCAGGTGAAAAAGAAGGGTTACGCACACGTAGAAATTTAGAGGTTGTGCCTCCACAGCGCGCCACACGGATTAAATCAACGCAATAGACGCGACACTGTTGGAGAAGTAATTCGGACGCGTACATCCATTGCTAGGAATGTCATACGTGTGCGCAAGAAGATCGCGAGGATAGGGAGCGCTGCGGCATGTCGCGTTTGCTTTGTCGCGTTAAGAGCGAGTCGCGTTTAAGTCGCGTTTGTATTGGCGTTTGCAAGTCGTAGACGCGTCAATAGGCGAACGGATGCCAAAAGAGAGAGACAGGGCGTGTACTAAAGAATTTGTAGGCTTGGAGACCCATCAACGCGTGATATGTCGCGTCGAGGAGCGTGTTTGTTGGTGTCGACATGGGTGGAGTAAAGAGATGAGTGAAAGTAGACGCAGTGGTCGTAAATCGCGTACTGTGTGTCTGTTGTCTACCTACAGGTAACGCCTTCGTCGAGGTTTCACCTAGTGGTAGGAGCCACAATCGACGTGTACTAGGCCATCGCGGAAGTGACCGAACGACGAGAGAAGCGGGTGGTGCTCACAGGAGTGATCAGAGCATGTTCTGCTCGCGTGCGGTCCTCAGGGGAATCCTCACGGCGGCGACGACGGCGCACGATGTCCTCAGGAGTGTCCTCGCGACGGCTGCGAGCCGCAACCACCTCGTCATCAGCAGAGTATCCATCATCGCTATCCTCCTCTTGAACAGCATCGTTGATGAAGTCCTCTTCGCTGTCAGACAACGCGTCGCATGCAGAAGCCATCACCATATCCACATATTTGTGTGGTGGACTTCGGGCCGACTTCGCTTGGATGCCAAGACCTAACCTCCAACTTCACCCCCTTTTGCTGGCCGTGACGCTGTTGCCTGCTCGAAGAGACGAGTGAAAGGGTTCAGATTGACCTTGACCCCGCCACACGACATCGAATGAGACGGACGCGATGACGACTCGGGGCCAATCAGACAGAGGGCTCGTTATGGGGCAGCGCCTCTGAGAGAAAACGACAATACCTGGGACCTCTGCTTGTGGCTCATGCCCAGCACATTGTATGCTCTCCCGCGGCATCTTATTCCTCGTCGAATTTCTTGCCTGATCGGCCGCCCATTGCTCTGATGTCCATCCTGGACTTGAAATGGTTTCACGCTGGAGTGGTGTAATGGTTTGTGGGATGGAAAGTCAAGCAGGACAAACGGACGGAGAAGGGCGGTGTTGCCAAGAGCCGGAAGAAAGAAGAGCCGTTTCCGTTCAGACATGCAAGACCACGCCAGGCATCAGAATCACTCAGGTCGACGCTGTTCCTCCATCACTCACCACCTCTCAGCCACCAGGTTTCTTCTCGATCGAGTCCCAAAATCATGGCCCCAGGAAATTAATCATCATGGAAGAAGTCTGCCTGATATCGAGACCTTGTTCGCTATGAGCATCTATCAGACCAGGACTTTATCAAGCTCATGAGACGGTACCATGCCTAGCAGGCAGGCAAGATTATTTATCGACCGCGAGCAGAAGGCCCGCCCCAACCATTTCCAACCCCGTGAAAACCGAGCATAGGGAGGAGGAATTAGGAAGGACTGGAGCAGGCGGGGGCGAGGTTGAAGAAGAACATCGATCCACCCAAGCAAGACAAGAAGAACGCTTCGAGACAGGCCGTACATAAGCCGAAACCACTGCCCTTGGCGAAGCAATCCCGCCACTACGACTCCGACCAACGCAAATGAAGAAGGCAAACGGTGATTGCAACAAGAACCGGGAGAAACAATCATACTTTTCAATCTAGGACGTATTCGGCGACAACGGGTTGGAAAGAGTTGACCATGCCACGCCTCCCACTTCAGAAACGATCGCCCCGCTGGGCAGTCCACCGCATCATCCCACCAAATTGCCAAGGTCCATGCTCTCAACACGATCCATCAACGTGTTGAAGCTCTCGTCCACAGTGGCATAGTCTTGCATCGACTCATGCAAGGCCGTCTGCAGCTTGCCTCGCTCATCTTCGAGCGAGCTCTTCTGACCCTGCAGAGCCTGCAGTTCTCCCTCTAGCGCCTCCTTCTCTCCGACTACAACCTCCATCTCCCCCTTAAGCGACCCCTTCTCGTCCTCCAACGAGCTCTTCTGTCCTTGAAGAGTCTGCAAATCTCCCTCAAGCGTCTCCTTCTCCCCCTCAAGCTTCTCTTTCTCCCCCTTAAGCGCCTCCTTCTCCCCCACAACAACTTCCATCTCCCCCTTAAGCGACTCCTTCTGTTCGACCAACTTATCATACTCCCCCTGCAAGATGCTATGCTCCCCCAACAGACGATCCTTCTCCTCACCAGCCGCCTTGACTTCACCATTCAATCGCTGAATGTCAATCTGCGCCTGAATGTCCAAGGCATCGGCTTTTTCGAGTTCTCTCTCAAACCACTGCACGCGCTCTTCCTCCTCAACCTCCATCTGCAGGGCCTCGGCTCTGTTGTTCCACGAGGCGACATCTTGCTTGAGCGTCTCGATTTCGCGACCCTTTTGCTTGCCTTGGACATATTCATCGTTGAAGATGAAGCGCCACTGCTGTTCACCCTCGCGAAGCTTGTTTGTCTCTTTGAGCATTCTAGCCACCTGTTCGTCCAACTGATTTGCCTCGATGCCCCACTGAGATTTCAATGCCTCTGCCTGGTCGAGATCACGTTGCAGCTTGTTCATGTCGTTCTGCACTTCTTTCATCGTCGTGTCTTTATCCGCAAGCTGCTGCTTCAAGTCCTTGATCGCACGCTTCCTCTCCTCTCCCTTGACCTTCTCCGCTTCGAGCTCCCGCTGGATGGAACGCTGGACTTGCTTGGCTTGGTCTGTGGTCTTGTCGATGGCACTCTTGATGGCTTCCGGCATGATCCTCGTCTCAAGCTCGTGGACCTGGAACGCACAAGCCTGGTAATTCTTCTTGGTGTCCTCGTACGCCTCCTTCATCACTCTGAAGTTGGCGGCCGAAGTCTCCAACCGCTCCTGGACGTCGTTCTCGGATTTCTTGAGCTTGGCAATCTCGGATGCTTTCTGAGACACCTCCTTTTCGAGCGCGCTCTTCTTGGGCTCCAGATCTGAAATGCGAGACTGCGCCGCCGCCAATGCATTCTCCCCTTCCTCGACTTTGTTCCGAAGTTCCTGCTCCGTGAAGTCCGCCTTGACCTTGAGCTCGTTCAGAAGGTCTTTGAACTGCAGCTTGGTGGTCTCACTCCGGCTGGTAGCGTTCTGCTGCCAGTCTTGCGCTATCTGGTTGAGCTCCTTGGTCTTCTGATCCCATTTGGCGAAATACTCCTCCTCGGCATCATGTTTGGCCTGCCGCGCATCATCCTCGGCGTTCATCGCAGCACTCTTGCCTTGAGCAAGCTCCTGGTTGAGTCTCTTCAGCTCGTCCTCGAGACTCCCGATCTTGCCATCCTTCTCTTGAACATCCAGCCCATGGTTCTTGCTGGCTGTCTTCATGAGCTCCTGTTCAGCAGTCAAGTCTTGCTTCAACTTGGTCACGACTTCTGGATCGACTCGAGGCTTGCGGAGCTCTTCTTCAAGGTTGTCAATCTTCTCCTTGAAGTAGTTGAGCATGGCCTCGCTGAAATTAGTGGAGAGCTTTGACAACTGCTCCTGTATCTCCGTCACGATGGTAGGACCATCCAGATCGAGGGGGATTGCCAGCTCCTTGGATCTCTCGACAAGATTGGTGACTTGATTGAGTGAGTTCTGGCGGGCGTTGTTCAAGAGTTGGGTGAGGTTCCTCGTCTCTGCGGCGATCTGATCTGTGTCGATCGGCAACAAGTCTTCAACATTCCAGTAGACGAAGTTTCCCACCTGTTCCATTTCGCCTCGAGCGCCGAAGAGCTTATCGAATGTTGCGGTAGAGCGGGTGCCGGTCGGCGCGACGTGCAGTCGTTGAGGAAGCGCCATGGTGGTCGGGGATGGTGTCTGGTGTCTGGAAGAGGTGGAGGGGCGGTGGGTGGATAAAAGGGAGTGCGCAGATTTGTTTGCTGCGGGAACCGGCAAATTCGCCCCCTCGCTCCTTCCTATTCTACCAGCGCTCACAGAATTTCTGACTACGATCATCATCGGCCAACATGGAGCCACAAGCTTTCATGCCGATGCAATGGACTACTCTCATACCAGGAGTGGAGCGGTTGCATTTCAAGGTCTGCCTACTGGCCCCGAACTTCAACCCACAACACTTCCTCTATCGACTCAACAAAGCCCGCGACAACGAAAGCAGACGTGACCCTCTCTTCGACCCCGATTCGAGAGCATGGAAGCCAGTCATCTACGAGTACGAGCTATTCACCTCGCAGTTTGCGTGGCAAGAACAGGACGGCGCCATCACTGGACAGCGTAATGTCCATGAAATCGCCACAGAAGACAACAACTGCGCTGCACGAGACTTTCTGCTCTGCGTGGCTGAGGCAGCTTGCGATGTATTGAAGGTCGCTACTGTGGCCGCAGAAGTCCTCATCAAAGACATGAGACTGCGTGTGGGTGCGGGTGTGGAGGATCGCGTCGCAACTGTCGTCGCAACTGTGGCCCAGGTTACTGGCAAGGCGCTTTCTGACTCATCGACCTTGTTTCGTTCCTCGCCAACATATCGACTGTGTAAGACTTAGCTAACGTTTCCAGAGACCTTCGATCTGCAGCTAGTACAGGTGGATAGTGGTTGACATGACAAGTCCAGAAGTTTGCGTGGATAGACGATGGCAGACAGCTTTAAGCAATATGCCAACAGGAGAATTGTGGTTGTGGAAGTCCGCTCGAGAAACAACCCGTGCCGCGCTAGCGGGTAGCGCGACGCTAACAAACTTCCAGACGTGAATCGTGAGTGTTGCAGTTCAAGAGCTAACCTCAGTCTCTTTCTGGATACCCGTACATACGCTGGGGAGCTAACTCAACCTCCACCCCGTGGATCTTCTACATCTACCTGACCCTGGATCTTCACCATCTCAACCTCATCACTGCAGCGTCATCGTTCCATCCCCGACATGCCACCCCAGATCGTTTGAGAGCTTTCTTCTTGCCTCCTCTGAGAAGTTCAGTGTTGGCTCACTTCAGGCTCTTACGTTGAGGCAGATTCATGGCCTTGGCTCGACTAGGGGTTACGTTCTTGTTTGCCCAGCGAGCCGCGGCCTTGATCTGATGTTGAATTCTTCTTGATTCTTCTTGATCCTAGTGGTATACTTGCTGGCTTCCACTTCAGGTGCGTTGTCTGACAAGATGTAGAAGTCCTTGCTGTCCGCTGTCGACTCCGTTGGTCGCAACTGGTGAGGCAAGGGCCGCAAGACGAACTGAAAGTCGCATCCGGATCGAGGGCCATCAGCGCACGGTATCCTTTTCTTCGAGCACGAAAGGCAGGCAGACTCGGTCATCGGATTTCCGTCTTCATCTCGTCGCCACTTTGTTGCACTGTTGGCCGCCCGATTCGCGACACACTGCTGGCTGGGAAAAAGAGCAGAGAAGGAGCGGCCTGGGAACTTGCTCTGCGCCGCGTCCTGCCATTCAATGTGGGTCTCTTCGATGACATCTACCATTGCAGGGACGACGTCCTGGAGTGGCTTTACGTCCGTCTTACCGTCCTCGACTTCCGCGAAAACGCCCATGGTAACCTCCGATCCCTGCTCCTTCTAGCTCCCATCTGTACTGTTTGTTGGAGGCGTGGGCTGTCGCTCGAGAGAACGTTCGTGAGAGTGGCCCCGGATCTGTGAGAAACGTGTATGGGGCGAGACTACGATGCTGCGTCTCTTCGGTGGTCGCGGCTCCAGGTCGGGTTGGGAAGATGCAGTTGAGGCGGTGTTGATCTGATCTGGGGCTGCTTCTTCGTGACGATTCGCTTCATCATACCTAGCGATCTCGTCTCGCAGGCCTTGAATCTCGCGAGCCTGAGCCTCACGCTGGGCCCTCAACTGAGCGGCCAGCTGATGGCAGGCGCTGCTAGACCTCCTCGACTCGAGATCCATGGCTTCATATATGTCACGAAGCCTGTGAATGGACTGCGACAGCGAATCCAAGTCGGCAGGGCTGTCGTCGTCGTCTTCCCCATCAAAGTCTTCGTCTTCTGTTTGATTATCTGGGTCGTGGAGATCGTCACGGCCCTCATCGTTAGTCGATCCCTGGTCGGCGGGGTTTAGATAGGCGGTTGGCAGGTCGCGTAGGTAATCTTGGTTCGCATACTGTGGCTGCATGGCTCGGCAAGTAGTGATTTGCGGCTAGAGATCGGTTCGAGTGGTGTGGGTGAGACGTGATAAAGGCCTGACCAGGTGGAGGAAGCTTTCAAGGACGGCGGGCACGGCATCTACCGTTTGAGACAACAAGGAAGGTGCAACACAAGATACCACTATCTTAGGAAAGAGCCAACCCAGATGGGTCAATTCTCTCTCTATCTAGTCGAAAGACACTCTTCCCATGGCAAAGCACATACTCTTGATACCATATGCGCGGCCATGGATGGTGAAAACCAATGTCATGTATAACCTCCCCGTTGCTCTCAGTCTCCAGATTCCCTCACCCCTCGCTCCGCGCGGTCGTGGTCGGCAACGATCTCCCCTCTCTCTCGCTCTTCGCCATTACGATCAACAATCGTGATCTCTGTGTTGCGACCCATACTGAGGATGTCTGTGATACCCTCCACCGTGCTGGGCACCAACCTACGGCACTGTCTTGAATTGGCAGTGCTTCGGCCGGCCTTTGATGCCCGTCGAAGGCTGTTTAGTCGAAGTCTGATTTCCCGCTCCCAGCGATCCCAAGTGCAGCCTTTGATCATGTTCAACTCCACCGTGGCGCGAGGCTCTGGGCTCTGCGATGAGGTAGCTGCCCCGTGGGGGTTGACGTTTCATCAGCCTCTGACGACCACATTCGTGGCCAGATGTGGTTCGAAGACCACGACATCCTCTTCCGCGGCACCCACAAGTACCCACTTGTACTTTGCGTCGGCCTGTTGCAAGAGTTCAAGGCAGTCGACCTTCTGTTGGCTCCAGTTCTGATCGTCCTCAAAGACGACTTGCAGGAATGAGGGAGGCTTGTTGGGGAAGGTGTCGTAATCGAACAGCATGATCCCAGTCCTGATTTATATGACAGTTTGGTTCAATGAAATCGTGTGCGGGCACCTCAAGAGCTGTCGCCGAATATCTAACACTTGGCAGAGTCGTCGACCGCACTTCTCCTAGCCAATCGCTCCTTCCTCGCGGCAAAAGTCGACAGTCGCTCCTTCCCTCTCCGTTCAAGCCAAACACACCCACCGACCACCGGTCGCCGCGACGAAATCCACATCCTTTACACGATCAACCCCCCCACACAACTGCTTTACGTATGTTAGCGCATCGACCTTGAAACCAGGAGCACCCGGTCACCATCACGTCGACCAAAGCCACCAACCAAGCCGACCGTCAGTGCGACCACTGGCCATGGATTCCACTATCGATCAACTAGGGATTCCTGAAGACTATGTTGATGGCCTTGCACTCGCCTCGCAGATGGTAGGCGAGAGCCAGAGGACCATCTCTGAGTGGCTACGTGAGGAAGAGGGCACTATTCCCGACTCCCAAGGCGAGGACGGTATTGATGTCACACGCGAAGAGGACGACACCAGACCAGCCACCTTTGACATTGAACGCACACGCCTGCAGTTCGTAGACGCTTGGAAGGGTGGAGTCAAGGCCTTTATCGACCATTTCGTCGACGAGGAGATCCGCCTGGGCACTTTCCGCAACGTCAGTCGTGCCATCGTCGCGAGGCTCATCTACTGCATCGTGCTCACGACTCCAAGGCCAATCCTGGACGCTCTCATTCATGGTGACCTTATGGCCAGACTTCACAACGACACCGACCTTGACGAGGCATGGAAGGCATTGGAAGGCGTTTGCGAAGAATACGAGACGACCCCGGGAATCTATGCGGTTTTTCTCGTTGCCAAGGACACCTTCACACCACCGAGCGCAGAGGAGCTGTTGGAGTGGGCGGAGCAGGCACTGGTTGAGTATGCCGAGAATGACAAGTACGCCAACAAGGTCGATAACGCAAGGGGTGGCAACGGACCTGACATGGCCGAGTCTCGTGGGGGCTACCGGAAATACCTGACCACAACTGGCGTCCTTCCCAGCAAGAGCCGCTCGCAGCAACTCACCGTTTTTGTCGAGAATCTGAGGACGAGATTCCGGCCACTCAGTTTCGACGAGCAGAAGCTGCCTCTAAAACGAGCGCTGCCGTACTTTGGCTTCTCTACATTCATGGACAAGAGGATGGGTCAGCATGCCAAAGGCACCAGCTCCAATTGGCTTATGGGCCTTTTCGAATCCATCTCGATCCTGGAGACCGACCACAAATACACCTTGTATATTCTGCCGGTATACTTGATCCCAAGTGCATTCCTAGCCGAGTTGTCGGAGATTTTCTTCGCCAAATTGGGACAGAGTATGGTCAGTGGAGGAGGCGGATTCAACATAAGGCCACCAGGGCTCAATAACAGCTCGGCTCTTGATGTCAATACCGATGAATGGGAGGAGATTCGCATACGAGTGGAGGAGGCCGTTGATATCCAGGCGAATAGAGAGTATTACCGATCGGAGTTCGAAACAAGGATCAAGCAACTGGACGACGAGTTGAGAGACGCAGAGTATGAGGCGAGGAGGGAAAAGGAGTTGGAAGACGAACTGGCTGAGGTCCAAGCCCAGCTGATCGAGGCATTGAAGCCACTACCAGAGGAGAAGGATTTGGACGAGGTTCTGAGCCGCATCACGAAATCCATGCCGAAGGTCGAAGGTCTAAGGCCAGGGGCCATCGAATGAGAAACACTGCCGATTGCGAGAGCCGGGTCTGGCAGACCTCCCATTCTCCACCCGTCGGCGAATAGCTCACTACCTACCGCATTCGAATGTCATCTTAGCTGTCTCTCTTTACCGTGTGTTCTCAAACCCCCCATATCGTAGAGCTGCTCGAGCATGTTGTCGAGATGAGGTTTGCGAGATAGGACTCGTCTCGAGGAGTCTTGGCGGTCGACTTCACTTCCAAACCAAACACCCCTCGCTCGACCTTTCAATTTGTATACAATCGCAGACGAACAGTGTGTCGCCCTGACGGCACCGAGACAGATATGGCACATTTGAGCGATGCGAACTTTGCAAGATGACGGAGCGGAATCAGCGGATGGTCAGCCTGGCGTTCTCGGCACTTTGAAATTCACGGCCTTGCGCCAAAGTAACCCTCCTGTCGTCGGCAGCAGGTCTCTTCATAGTCTAGTAAGAGAATTTCAGATACTCTCATCGTCTCTGAGTTGGTGAATGTAAGTCTTTCATGCTCGGCCGTAAATGGAAGCCTGCAGAAGAAAAGTGAATGACACCTCGTCCTCTACTTCCTATCCCTGTGTCAAGTCTAGCTTTTTGACTGGAACTTCCGCGCAGCATCAAGAACCGCAGAGTGGTCTCGGCTTGAGATTTAGCTAGCAATCGTTGCATTGTCAAGGATATCTCGAGCTATGTACTGCTGACAGCCATAAAACCTAGTTACTCTCCTCATCATCTTCAACAGTGATGTTGTACCTCCTACGAAGCTCACCCTGGCGCTCAGCCATTGTGGCCATGTGTTCTTCGGCCTCGTCAATTGACCGTGCCATTGGCAACGGCCCTGGACCAGCAACCACAATACCCAGGTCGTCCATCAATGTCGCTCTTGCGTTTAAGCTCCTCGATTTCCTGAGTTTTGCTCTTGGCTTCTTCTTGAGCTTTCTGTTCCAGTCCTCCAACCCGCCTGCCAGCCGTCTGCTTGAACGTCTCTAGTTCGTTCTTGGCTTCAGTCCTTTGTTGGACGAGATCCTCGTTGGCCGTCTTCAATTTTTGTTCCAGTCCCTGAATGCATGCCTTGTCTACATCCCATTTGAAATCTTTGAGCCACTTCTGCACGTCATCTGCAATCCTTAGGACATCCTCCACCCGGCCCTGCCTTTTCGCTTCGAATAGCCATATGCTGTGCTGGTCGATGGTCTTCTTCGTCTGCTCGACATTGACCCGAGTCCGTTGCTTGAGAGCCTTCAACCGCTGTGTACGGTCGATGATGGTCTTGTCCCAGTGGCCGTAGTCTGACAATTCCTCCAAGAAATTGAACGCAGTGCCGTAGTTCTTCACGAACCAGTTTTCTTTCTCAGGCGGCATCTTGAGGTCGACGGCGTGAGAAGTATGTTGTGTTTGGGACTGTTTGTAAGGACGACGGCGTGAGAGGTATGTTGTGTTTGGAAGTGTTTGCAAGGACGACCGCAATCGGGCAAGCTGCATGCGTGCGCAATGTGCAGGGTAGGGAAGGCACGCTAGGGAAGTGCGTATTCTGGGTTGTACCTTCCCAATCTTTCCCGTCTCCTGAACTGTCGACTTCTTGCCCCCTCAACAGCCTCAATCGCGCGTCTCGATCGCCCCTGTTCGCCCTTGATCGCCCTCAAATCACGCCGTATTTCAACGTCTCAAGCTGGCCGTCTACTTTCACTTCATCATTCGGACCCGGCCTCACTTCAACCTTCACTTCAGCAATTAGAACCGTCCTCACATCTGCCTTCACGTCTACCGCAACTCTCTCACTATTCCCGGCCTCACATGGCCTGAATCTGACCCGACCACCCTTTACGAAGACCCCGCGAGCTCACGATCCATTACGCTGGCGACTTCGCTTCTCTCTCATGTCAAGTCCAGGTTCAGAACGAAGGCCGGAAGCCGAGGCACAAGCGCCTGACCTTGAACATGCAGCGATTCAGAGACAGCTTGTTGAGGAAGGGAGAAATGTAGTAGAGGCTGTCGGCTCCATTTACAGACAGGTCAGCAGGGTTACAGCGTGCGAAAGATCAATTATGGAGACCATCGAATCTGAAAAGGAGAGCCACAAAGAAGAAATTCGACAACTTCACGCGCTCCTGCAGACCGCGAAAGGTCGGCTTACGAAGCACAGAAAGAAGCGAAAGTTCTCGCTATACGATGACGTTCGTTGGAGCCTTCCAGGCTCCACTGGGACTGGAGAACAAGAGACACAGACACCGACGCCACGATCTGGGGAAGCTGCGACAGCGCGATCGTACCATGAAGATCATCAAAGGTTGGCTACCCAACGTCGCGAGAATGCAAGGGCGGAACGGGCAAACCAGGTCGTATCCTACGACATACCATCGTTCTTTGGTGCAACAGATATGGGGGCAGAGGAATTCGCATAAGGGCTGATTTGGCAGGCAACTTAAGAGCACAACATGTTATTGGGAAAGGTTTTGGAATGAATTCTTATTCAAATGTCTCTGAATGCGTTGCAGTTCGAGATCGGAGATGGCAATTAGACGGCGGACCTGAGAATAGAAGTTAGAAAAGCAATGAATCTACAAGTGGCAGAGATCAGGAAGGGCTGGAGATCCACAGCACCAGCTGAGCAATGGACATTGTGAGTATGTGAAGCATTGTGTTCATGGAGGCCACCTGTCTATTAGGTATTGCCGCAATGTCTCGCGTGGTCTGATCATGGTGACATCCCGGTGGCGGATGCATAAAGCATCTTCACTCTTCGCGGTTTGCCGCAGGTCGTCCACCGCCTCCGCCGGTGTTGTCCTTGGCCTGACGACGCTCATCTGCCGCAGACTCTGTGTTGATCGGCTGTCCATCATTCCTCTCCATCATCATCATCTCCCCCGCTTCTTGCCCTTCGAAGGACTCCCCTTCGACAGACCTTCGTGAGGCTCCTTTCTCTTCGACTGTCCGATCGCGACCAAGTCCGTCGATGGGAAGCCCTTGACTGACCAAACAGGAGGCTGTTGGTTGAGCTTGAACTTGCCATAGGTCGTCTTCTTGGGCGCATTTGGGTCGGTGAAGACGGTGCTGTTGCGACCAGGACGAGCGGCAGAGTTGCCAGTCTAGTTGAAGCCAAGGCCGAAGTTGGGAGCAAGCATAGACTGTCCTGTGGACAGGTTGAATGGGTTGCTGCGAGCTGGCGTCGTAGTTGATTGATTGGTGCCGGATTTGGGGCCAGCGGGAGAAGGGCCTGTCGTGGCTGCGGCTTGGTTCAAGTAAGGCCCGAAGTTGGGGACAGACATACCCCCACCACCTGCATTGCCGAGCGTCGCATCGGCGCTGCTGGACTCGGTGCCCTCTGGACGACGAACTCTGCCACCGCGTGGCGGGCCGCCAGATGACGCGTGCAACGGCCGATTGTCCGGACGCTTCAGCAATGCCAGGTCAATGCCGAGAGGACCTCCGAAGCGACCAACCGTCTTCTGAGTGGCCTTGATATCATCAGAAAGGCGAGACACTTCGTCATGGACTTGATCCTGAGCATTGTTCTTGACATGACCCTGGATTGTCTTTGGCGCGCTCTTGAATTTTGGCTGGGGGCGATGGGCGAAGCTCTGATCGCTTGCGGCCTTGGAGCTCTTGTGGTTCATGTCACTGTCCTTCTTTTCCATCCCATGGATGGTTGGTGGCGCGACGTCATGGACATGGGCGGTAGCGGGTGGCGGTGGAGCAGCGCTGTTGGTGCTGTCCGATGTGCGGTCAGGGCCAGTAGTCTTTTTGCCAGATGCTGGGACGGGGAGGCCAGTGGCGCTTGAAGTCGACTGAACTTTCTTCGCGAATGATGCCTTCATCGCCACGATGATATCGTCCTCTGACTCCGACCCCGAATGCATTTCATCGTCGTGCGAGCTACTGGCTTCAGGTTTGTGTCCGTCTACTGCCGTTCCCTCTTTTGCCACCCCCTCCATTGCTGTCCCCTCCATTGCTGCCTTATTCATCTCGTTGACATTTGCTTGGAAGTCATCTTCCGGGCAAGTGATCGGCTCTCGCTGTCTACCAGTGGCTTCTTTCCCAGGTAATGCAGGGACAGCGCCATCTTCGAGGGGAACAGGTTCTCGTTGCGCGGTCTTCTTGAAGCCATCAGCAACTGCCGGCTTGTCTTGCTGTCTGTGAGTTGGTGGCCGTACAATGTTGTCAAGGAAGGAGAGGTCGCCAGCTGCGTTGAATCTTGTGAATAGAGCCGCGATCTCGCTCGTATTGAGCCTGGGGAGTGTAGTGGTACCACGCGGCAGGAAAACGGAGCCACGTGCCACGGAGGGAGAGAAGTTCAGGGCATCTACGACTAACGGATCCCAGGTCGCGCGATGGCCGGATCGGTTCCGGTAGAAGTCTTCAGGAACTTCGTTAGTCGGACTGCGGAGTGTCCCTAGCCATAGGATGATATCGTCGAGAATCTGGGGCTGGATTACAGGGCCTGCGACGGGTCATCATAGCTCGGATAACCACCGCACGATAGTATAGCTGACGACGCGTAAGTGGCGGATCGGTAGGGTCAATGCCCAGGGCATCGAACTGGTCCACGTCTTCGATGCCGGAAACGGGGAGGCCGACCATGTTGGCGATCTATGAAGTGTCAGCATATGGTACCAAGAGTTTGGAGGTCAGAAACTTACCGTGGATGGATTGGGATGGCAAGATGAATGCCGACCGTGATGTTGAAGAAGCAAAGAAGTTTGTAGAAGTTGAGCGGCTTTTCAAACGGGGGACTGCAGATCGCGCCGGGCTGAGCACGTGCTCGATGCGGTCGTCTTCACATTCTTCAGTAGATTTCCCATATGCAAGCACACGTCTTCACCAGCGAGAGTATATCTGCAAGCTTGTAGCCTGCTTCGCTACGCTCCGACCTCGCTGCGACTTCACTTGGAACGCCAATTCACATGCGCGTCGCAGCCGTTCGGCGGGACTAAGCGAACCTTCCAGGACTAGCGCGCTCGCCTCTTTGTTCCTTGTCTTTGATTCCTAACACCACCGACCGACCACTGCTCACACGAATTATTTCGTGGGGTCGACCTGTGCTGCTATCTCACATTCTCCCTGCTCGCTTGCGTAAGTTTATTGCCTTTTACGTTGGGAGAGACCTCGAATCTGACCTCGCTCTAGGCATATCCGAATCCACTGCAGCTGATCGCCCATACAACATCGCGACCATGGTCGGCATTAAGAGCACCAACCATACCCTGCGCACTCGATCAGTTCGACCGTCTCGGCGTGGATCCTTTTGGATTACCCCTGACCCTCGCCCAACTCATCCAGCGAGCCGAGGACACCGTCTTCATGTTGGCTGCGGGTCCAACCATCCAGCGCCGTAGCATTCTACTATACCGCCTCGAGCATGCAGAGGTGCTGCTCCTCTTTCTGGCCGGCAACGATGACCTTAGCCTCATCGGTGAGGAGCGTCAAGCCGCCTTCTATGCTAACCGCGCTGAGTATCGATCGCGCTGGAATCTAAACCAGTTGATCGACGGCCGTCTCGTCACTCTTGCAGACGACAGTCTGTACATTGCCTGCGGCGTCATCGCTACCGTACCCTCCATCCAAGGCCGTGAACCAGTACTTCACCTTGCTTGCCCAAGTGCCTACCAACCCACGGTCGCAAACAATGCCCACCCGTCCCTCACCGACACCTCCACGAGCAACCAACCCGTCCCGCCACCGACCACCGATGCTTCATCCTCTCCTCATCCGGCTCGTGGACGGTCGCCGTATGAGATTCAGAGCACCAGCGTCCATCAACACGGCTCACCGAGAGCGCATCGACACACGCAAGAAGCTTTCGCCGGCAGCTATTAAAACGGGGTCGACCACACACTCTGAGAACTTACAAGCGAAGACGTCGTCTGCTTTTGGTTCGAGCCATATGGCGACGCCTCTCTTTCGAGGTCAGAGCGCCAATACCACCCCCACACGCATTCGGTACGTACCAGCCGGTCGCAACTACGATGAGTTCTTCAAGAACTTCGTCAATGCAGAAGCCAACCCGTCCTCTGCGCCTGTCTTCCTCGACCAGCCCAGCACGGCCGTCAACGTACGCGAGCAGTCTCTCTCGACGACCTCAGAGGATCGCCGTGCACCCGCCGAGATGTCATCCGCTCCTCGATCGAGCCACATGGCGACGCCTGTCTTCCGTGGGGAGTCCAGCACAACCGTCAATCTACGCGATCAGTCTCGCTCGCCAACCTAAGAGGATCACACTACTCACCGTCGCAGTTTATAGGCTGATGCATCTTCGGCTTCTCACTGGACCAGCATGAGGGCCCCCCCCCCCCCCCCCCCCCCCCCCCCTCCCCCCCCCCCCCCCCCCCCCCCCCCCCCCCCCCCCCCCCCCCCCCCCCCCCCCCCCCCCCCCAATGATGGCGCCTGTCTTGTGTTTCAGTCCACCAACACACGAACCCAACAACCAGAACTAGCCGAAGACGACTCCACCCGCCATCATGGGGACGCTCCAACGACGCCTACCATGATGTCGGCTGGCCATGGCCTCGTTTCTCCTGTCACTCGTGAAATGCAGGACATAGGCTCTACTGACGTCGCTGAGCGTGTTCCACCCATCCTGATTACACCATCCCGTAGTCGCCGCACTGTCCTCACTCTCACCACGCCAAGTGATGCAGCTTTTGCTATGACGAGAATCCTGGGACGAGTCCCCATGGCTACGACCAGCCGGCACATCTACCACGCTGAATCCTGGACCCGCAACTATGGCAAAGGCCAGACGACCCGGGACTCAGCGCAGCACGCCAACGCCAACGACGTCAGCGACCCCTCTTCGCGTCCTTTACAGTCCTCTGACCGAGTTCGTTCCCGTCCTTCTGGCCGCCAGCGACGTCGTGTTCGTCCACGCATTGGCGCCTTGAGAGTTGTCAACCAGGAGCGTGCCGACGCGGAAGAGTCTGATGTCGATGCTGACTCTGAGGACGAGGCGATTGTTGGGATTCCTGGAACGGAGGCTGATTCGGATTCCGAGGACAAGTCTGACGTTGAGGCTCTGGAGGAGTTGGAGGCTGAGTCTGGAGTGGGATTAGAGTAGCTGGGGCTGCTCACTTGCGCTCTGCAGACGTCAAGAGCGCAGTTTTTACAACGATAGCTGGCATCGCAGAGCTCATACAGAGTCGGGGCCGGACGGTGTTGGTGGCGTTGGTTTCTGCATCACAGAGGTAGCTGGTCCTTTGCAGAAGCCCCTGAATGCTGAGCTTCTGAGATGAGCTGAATACAATACTTGACGATCGCCTTTAAATAGCGCTGTCTTTTCACCTTACTCGTTAGAGATGTTTAACATTGTGCCGCGCATTATGTGGCCAGGTAGCTGTCTACATGTCCGTCTTGTGAAGTTGATATCATGTGAAAGCCTTGGCGCGCTAGCCTCATTCGGAGGCCAAGTGAGAGGTTGCTTTGTTTCTTTTTCCTTTTGTCAACACAAACACCCGTGACACTGAAAAATCAAGACAAAGACGAGCTACGTTTTTCGCGGTGGCCATAGAAGCTCTCGTGGGCTTGAAGCAGCCAACATCACCACAGCATCTGCAGTCGGCAGCTCACCCATCGACCAAACTTCACGGTCGCCACTGTCGAGACCTCGGATATCAACATCTCCATAGTCGTTGCTTCCAATGTCACTCACTTCACTCAATCGCTGAGCTCCCTTCACGAGCCGCGATCACAGACTACACAGCGACCCTGCCTCTTCTCCGGCACCGTCATCACTATATTTGGAGGCGCGCAGCTACCTCGATCAGCGACCAAGTACCAAGCACGCCTTCCACCTCCGCCCCTCAAGCGAGAATCTTCTCAAAGACTCGACGTACACGAGGTCGTCACACATCACCGACCATGAGCCTGCCATTGCCGTTGGACGAGGAGCTGCGCCTGGCATTCTTGTTCCTACCCGCCCAGTCGAATATCACAACCATCGGCTTCTGTATGGCTCAAGCTGCGGTGGTTATCAACTGTAAAAGGGAATATCTGTTGGCTCCAGGAATAGCCTTCACCGACTTATTCATCGAGCGCTGGCTTGATGTCCTTCGACCGAACGTGCCACGCACGTAGATCTTCAGCAACACCAATGTCCAGCGCCTGATCGCCCAGCTCGTCGCAAATTCGTAGACCTTACTCCGCTTTTGGCACGTCAGCGATTGGGGCCAGCTTAAACTCAACCCTGAGGTAGTTTCCAGTTCGGTTCGCCTTCCATCGACATACGATTGGGGACACGACCCAGAGGAGTGGTCCAAGCCGCCAGCCGCCGTCGACGAATACGGCTGTACAACCGAATCATTCTCCCGGTCGAAACCTCAGAACATTGCATGGTGATGCGCATCGATCGAGACCACAGAAGTCTGCTCCTGAGTGATAGCTTGGGACGCGCGAGTGGGTGATGTCGTTCACAGTGACGTGGTATCTGTACACGATAGGAAGGCTGACGCTGTGCAAGAGTAATGGAGACCTTGCGGACGTTAAACGGCTGGGAAGTACTAAGCATGCCATTCCGCAAGGTGGAATAAGAACTAGTGTGGCACTGTCTCATGTGCCCACATCCGGTCTCTGACACAGCAGGGCGAGTTACTAGCGGATCTTGTTGGTACCGTGTTCGAGCATCGCGCCGACCTTCGTCAGCTGATGCTGGCGGAAGTCGTGGCCGAAAGACTGCTTCCGACGTTAAAGGATCTACCACAGGTCGCCACGAAGCGATCTTTGCGTGAGATTGAGAGGTATGTCGCCCACTTCCCCCTATCTGGCATATCGTGTTGCGCGACATATAACCATCATAATGTGTAAGCCAGATTCGAAGGATTTGGAGAAGGCTTTGCAAGCAGGATGGAGGCTCTGCAAGGCAGGTACGAAAGCCATGGTCCGAGACGGAGGTGACAGGGACGCAGTCGAAGTGTTCGAAGAGTCTTCATATGCTTCAAGACAGAGGACGAGCTGGGTTTGACGTTAATGTCGCCTTCCTGAGCGCTAAACCACGAGCGCATGATAATTGAGGTTCGAAGATCGCAAGGGGTAGAAATGCGTAGCCACCCGCAGACCATCTCCTTCCACACGATTCTAGGACGCAGAGCGAAGAATCGCAAAGGGTGGGTCAGGTCTTGGAGGATGCTTGCTCGTCGCTCCCCTACATACATGCCGACAAGTGATGTTTGGGCGTCATATGAGGGGGGTCTGAAGATCATGGCCACGTAGAAGAAGTAGTGGTTTGAAGGACGAGAAAGGGTTTTGTCTGTACGCTCGTCTTATGAACTTACGCCGGGGATAGCAGCCATCCTCTCTCACGGGACTGTCGTTGACTGGCCACTATTATCGGCGGATGCCTTCTCATGCTCCAGATCCAATCCCGCCTCCAGCTTCCGCTCTCCAACAAGACTACTGAAGTCTGCCACTCTTCGCAACGATCTTAAAATAGCATTAGCTAGCTGAAAATTGACCAGGCCATTCCAATGAATCAAGAGTTCAGACCTCCTCGCCTTCTCATCGCCATACCGGAAATCCAATTACAGCCAATAGCTCTCCCGCAATGCCAGTCGAGCCGAACCCCTATTCCACGTGAGTTCCAAGTTCTCTCCTCGGGACTACCAATCCTTCTCCGATAGGCCCATATTCTTTATACCACTTCATGAATGTTGGAGAGAGGTAGGGGTCGTTTCTGAGGTCGAGAGCATTGCCTAGGATCGGAAGGCCTGCATTGATGTCAGTCTGTTCTATCAGCGCTGCATTTTGATGCTTGCCTCTTGGTCCGGGCGAAAGTGAAGCTCCCTGCCTGCGCTTCCTCTTGGATACATTTCGAGTTAGGTAGGCGAGAAGACCAACAACGAGTGCAACCCCGGCAAACACCTTCAACGAGAGCATGTTTGGTGTTAGCAAGGGCGGGCAGTTTCTCATAAACGTCGTTAAGAATGTCCACGAAAGTCTCCAGCAGAAGTTTCCGGAGGTCTATTTTGCGAGACCGAAAGGTAAACGATACTCAAAACGGTGGGCCGTGCGATGCCGCTTCAAGTCGATTCATTCCCACATGACCATGCTCCAAAACGATTCCATGCTTCAAGTCGATATCATTCCCTCAATGCCCATGCTTCAAGTCGGCAGCTTCTCAATCTTGCCCGCAACATCCACCAGACCCAGACCACCTTTTGCTTCATCTACTCATCCTCCTTCTCCAGCTTGATCTTCGCCATGCCAGCGATTGGAACAGCCGTCTTGCGGGTCCACTGCTGCAACAATGGCTCCTCATCATCCTCATCACCAGACGAATCCTCAACGCAGGCGCCACGATACTGCTTCTTTGGTGGTGCTTGCTCGACGTCATCACTCTTGCGCTTGGCTCCAGCAGTGTCGAGCGTCTTGCGCAAAGTGTCGCTACACAAGTCAGCACACTTCTTACACCAGAGTACGGACAGCATACTAGTCGAACTTGGCACGCTTCCACTTCGTGCTGAAACGCACAACCTCCTTCGACTTCTCATCCAGCTGACGTTGCAACTTCTGGATCGTGTCCTGCGCGGCTTGCTGCTTGTTGGAAGCCGCCTTCTTGACAGTCATCACCTGGCTGTTCTTGTGGGCCTCGACTTGCTTGAGACTGTCGATGGTACTCTTAAGGTTTGATGAGTACTCCTTCTCATTGAGTAGTTGGTTCTGCACGTCGGCGATGATGGCGTCTTTGTTGCGGATCTGCGACTGTCAGCACCGACCAGCCACAGCATACTTCATACTCACCTTGTTTGAAGCTGCGTTGATGGTGTCCTGCATAGCCTCCACCTCTGCCACCAAGCCAGTCTGCTCGTTCTGCTTGAGACGGAACAACTCAAACTCGACCTCACGCTTGCTCTTCTCCATATCCTCGAGCTTAACACGCAGGTAATCTTCCATGGTCGCCATATCGATGATGCGGTGTTTGGTGTTTGCTGACGAAGGTGTTGTCGAAGGTGTTGCTGCTGGAAGTGTTGTAAGAGAGCGAGAGATGGCTTTGACTGGCAGGAAGAATCAGACACCACAGACCGCCATCTCAGTTAATAGCACACTTCACCCATTCAACTCCACTTCGGGTAGCACAGTCCATGTTTCATGCCCTCAACTTCACTGCCGATGCGGCGCCGAAAGGTGAAGCAGCAAACGCCGCATCTTGCATCATCATGTGAAAGTCGAATATGCTCAGGTCGTATCATACGTCATCTCTCATACCAACATTGCTGCCACCAGAGCACCAACAACCGCCTTCATCAACACACCACCCACTCGTACCGCATCATTCTGATAGTAGTAAGCCCCCAAATAACTGCAAGTCACCTCCCCAGTCGAGCTCCTCTTCCCATAGCTTGCTTCCAATCCACGGCCAGGATAAGGACAAGCGAATTGCATTGACGCTGGACAGCTCTGCATCAGACTATAGCACAGATCCTCACACGGCAACACCTCCTTGTACGGACCCGGCTGGATCGTTGAATCAATCTCTGCATTCCGCGATTGATTGGTGGCAAAGCTGGAGATGTACGTCTGCCGAAATGCAATACTTCCATCAATGGTGGGTGCATCAGGCATCGGTATGTATTGGGAGTTGAGGAAGATTTCATCCAGCATGGATCCATTGTTGTAAAATTGCTGCCCAACGTTCCTCGGCTGCAGATACGGAGCAGTGTTGGAGAAGTCCTCGCAGCGAGGGATGGACACAGCACACAACCATTCCTTGTATGCTGCTGCACAGTCGGTGCAATTCTTTGCCAGCGAGTACTGTGCGTCGGAGGTGGTGTTGCAGGGTACTTGAGCGAGGGTGTAATTGAATGGAGAATACCAGGTGGTGGTAAAGTTTTCGTAGAATCGTTGTAGGTCGGCAAAGTTGGAGAAGTCGGTGTTTTGGGGATTCGCAGGGACAGCATACGCGACTTCTTCGCAGAATGTGAGATTGAACAGAAGCTGACAGTTGCCGTCTCTTTTGGTCTGGAAGTCAACACCAGTACCCCACACTTTTCCACCTCCACCTACAACACCATCCCCAGAAGCTGTGGAGTTGCCATTCATAGCGAGGAAGGCCATGTATTGGCTAGAGTCGTTTAATCCAGTGACATAGAACTGCTCCTTTGGTTTCTGACCAAGACCACGGGTAATCATCCCCATCTGAACGTGGGTACTGTTGCCTTGAAGGTCGGCTTGCGAGCCTTGAATCTGGCTGTTGTTTCTGACAAACGTCTCCAATCCGCAGAACGAGTTTTCCAGCCCCATGAAACCAGTAAGATTCTGATTGACGGCGAACATGACGAATGGCGCAGACAGATTGAGCCATTTCTGGTACACCTCCGTCGATGCGTTGGCTTCGGTGAGGTTGTCGGTCACGAAGAGCGCAGAGTTGTAGTCGGTGTCCACCAGATAGAGGAAAGGGTCTTCTGTTTCCGCCTCGTGGAAGTACCCATCAATCGAAACAGCCATCTCGTAGTTCCAGAAGCCAGAGAAGTTGCTGGGAATATCTGGCGCCGACACCGCAACATACCAAGTACCGGATGCATTGGGAACGGACGCATTGACGAAGCCTCCGTCGAATGGATATTCCTGCTGATCGCTCCCACCCGGCCCCAGATCCTTGTTCTCTGCACTGTTCGATACATACAGGGTAAGCTGCGGTGGAGATGCGTCCTGCGTTCCAGACCCAACCCACAAAGGTTGTCGACATGTGTTGGCAGAGATGTAGATGGTTGTGCCAGACTGTCGCTCTTCTACATCCCGCCTGCGTAGTTCAGGATGTCTCGTATTGTCCACACGCTTTCCTTCGAGCTGGCTGGGAAATCCAGCGCCCTTGCCGATGGGGTCTTCGATCAGGAACCTGTTGGGGTATTCCCAAATGTCCAAGTCGCCAGTTGATATGTCGAATAGAGTGCCAATGTTGTTGCCCTGAAATTGAGTATCCTTGGTCTCCCTTCTGCTCAAACCCACCACGTCATCGCCATCTCCTTCCTCGCGTATCCGGTGCCAGTTGTGATCTTCCCCTTCCCTCAGCTGTCCAGTCCCATCATGAGCGAGTTCGGCGGCATATGCAAAGTGAGGGTTCGACAGCGACCAGTAGATCAGGGCCAGCAAAGCGAGAGCGGAGACTGAAGCCAGCAGTCGCGATTGAAGGGGGGTGAGTTTGGGGCATTGGCAGAGCATCGCCGCGAACAGCGCGCAGAGGCGCCGCGGCTACGAAAGGTGCGCCAGTGCGGAGTAGGGGTTTGCGAAGTTGAAGCTGTCTTCCAAACGGCAGTCGTCGTCGTCGTCGTCGCGCCTTCGTGTGTTGTGGTGTTGAGGGGTGGTGGTTCTGCGGCGTACGCGGCCCGGTTGAAGGCGTGTCGTCGGAGTTCGCAACGCCAAGCCCGACAGCGACCTCACTCCTTCCTTTCCGTCTCGTCTCGTCTCCATCTCGACATCACCATATCGATGGCCCGTCAGTTGAGAGTCTGGGTTTGCTTAGATCCAGTGACCGGATCCACATCGTGTGTCTCCAAGAAACGCGCGATGCTACCTGACGACCAATAGTCTGACTCCTCCATACCTGGACGAGTAGATCATTCATTGCTCAGCCCGATCGAGGCAGTACTCGATTGCAGCGCATCACCCATACGCATGTGACTCGTCAGGCATGGCTGGCTATACACAGTGCCGCGCGACTGCCCTGTGTATAGCTACATGTGACCCTCGCGTTTCAATTGTATAACATGCGTTCGCAGACCTACAGCCTCTATGATCATTCAAAGAACCACGTCCAGAAAGACCAGGCCGCTGCGGCACCCAGCACTCTGCAGTGCAAGCTGAGCCTCATGAGGGCGACTGTGGCCGAGCAGCTACGTGGCTGGAGATCTCTTTTGAAGCTGCACTCCAGAGCGATGGAGATGTGAATCCTGCTGGTGGCGTCATTGTACCAGGACGGCGAACGACATTGTACTTCCGTCTATAGATGCCTCAATCAGCACATGGAGTTGCATCGTCGCTTGACACTTGAGCAGTGTGAGGCACGATTACGAACTCCAACCTTGATCGGGGATACCTAGGTACCCTCACTTCACAAGTCACATAACGATACCCCTGGGGATAGTCCTCGAGCCCAAGGTACAGTTTCTTGAGAACAGACATGGACCGATGTGTGACTTCCTTTCGAATGGTTGCGTGGCGAACGCGCCTTCCTTTCTTGTTGGCCAGACAAACGCTGACATGGCGTCAACTTCAACTTCATCGCCTCTACTTCTTCCACCAGTGCATGCCGTTCAAGAGTCACTCAACAGAAATGCAGCCTCTCTCATGGGCCAAGGTCGCCGCCGGCGCAACTGTCGACCCTACGACCGGCATGGAGTACAGCATCAAGCCTGCCAGAAGACGCCAAAAACTGCAGCCAGTGGCGAACAAGTGCAATGGCAGACATTGCAATGCCGATCTGTTGCGCTGTCCACTACCGCAGTGCATTCAAAGCGTCCAGGCCCAGCTCTCCAAGATCCAGGCTGACAATGTCGTCCTTGCAGCATCTTGCGACAAGCTGCTTCAAGATATCAAAGACCTCCGTGAGGACATCTTCCGGGAATGCAAAACCGACGACTTCAAAGATGACGACATGGAGGCTTCTCGCATTGCTCTCGGGAAGACATTGCGTCCAAGAGCACAAGAGGTGGAATGTCTATGCGTCGTCTGCGAATTGAAAGCCGAGTCTCAACATCAGACTCTACTCCGCCAGAGATTTGAAGCAGCTCAGAAGCGACACACGGCATTGAAGCAATATCGACGTGCAAATGATAAGGAGACTTTGAAGCGTATCTCCTCAAGGTAAGTCTTCAAGAAGAACCTTCATCGCTGACATCACACTAACTCGTTCCAAGTGTCACGACCGGCAAGTACTTCACGCCGGTTGGGAGTCTTCATGCTGGAGGTGTGACTGCTCTGCGACCCACACTTCAGATGCAGACGTCGTACAATTTTGCCGCGCTTACTACCAACTCCATGTCCGCTCGCCCGCTGAAGATGGGATGGAAGGACAAGCCAAAGCCAGGTGTCAAGCAATGAATCGATGAGATGAAGAAGAGAAGGGATCGAGGAAGATGATGTGGCTTGATGCGAACGTAATGGCAAGGAGTGGAAACTGATAGGGGTGGTCAATCTCGCTGTATTGAGTCCACCAATTCATGACAGAGCACATTCCACAAGATCCTGCCCATCGTCGGGTGATCTATGATACTTGATCACCTCCATTCCTGCAGCTTTCACCAACTCGCCATACTCGGCCAGGGTACGCTCCTTCGATCCATGTGAGAAGGCCATGTGGAAGTCCAAACCAGATTTTTGAAGGTCGTTCCCCGTAGGTTGAAGCACCCTCTCATTGATCAACAGCCGACTGTAGCCCGGCCGCACAGCCTTCGCCACCTGCTTCAGCAACCGAATCGACGTCTCATCGTTCCAATTGTGCAGCACATAGCTCAAGTAGTAGTACAAACTTCCTTGAGTTTCTGTCGGTTGAAGTTCGAGGAAGTTGTGTGCCACGTAGTCGACTCCAGCCATTCCAGTCTTCTCACTATACCCCAAGCCGGCCGCAGCGGCAAGTGCATCCTTGATCACTGGCGGCCTCTCTTCGAGCGCTATTCTGCCCTTCACTGCTGCCTCGTCCAGCTTCTTCCTCAAATTGTGCACCATGACCCCTTCCCTCCACCAAGATCAACCAGCAGCAACCTCTCCTTATCATGACCGCCTCCGACCTCCTCAATCCTCTTCTTGAACATCTCTCCAACATCAATCCACTCATACCAAGCCACCGAATGCACCGCCTTCATAAACTTGTTCAATCTTTCAAGTACTACAGGTGGCTGCCTTAACCAGAATTCATAAGTCGGGATATCGACTTGCCAGAAGCTTTGAAAAGGGCCCACACTGTCTTCAGTAGGGAAGACGTATCCTTGCTCGGCAAAGTAGCTCACCGAGTGCTCCAGCGCGGGGTTGTAGAATTCGAAGAAGTGGACGACCAGACTCTGCATTGCTTCATCCGGTGCTGCAAAGGCGTGCGTGGTGCTGTTGGCAACGTGTGTGCCGTAATCGGACTCTATGGCGAGACCGTAGAGAGTGAGGAGGCGCATCGTACGGGCGATGAAGTCGGGCGAGACGGCTTTGGCGTCCGTGTTTGCCAAAGCATAATCGGCGAGGTCTTGAGATGTTTGATGCTTGGGGCACGCAGCGGATAGTGACTTGAAGATGCCCAAGTCAATGGCAAGCCGGGTTGCCGTTGTAATATAAGGCTGGCAGTCAAGTTAGACCCAAATACTGAGCATTGCTGCACCACTAACCATCATCGTTATCTCATGAGCAATCTCACCGGGAGGCTTGGTGATATTGCGCAGCTGCTGTGCAATCCTCGCAGCATGAACGCATTGGGACTCGAGCTCAGATGCTCTGTTGTCTTGAGCTTTGGCTACCAGCGCTTGTAGATTGGCCAGTTGAACCTCCACCTCCTTCAAAGAAGCTGTGGACATTGTAGGGATGCTGAGGAGAGTTGTGCAGGAGGAAGACTGAGGGATAAAGAGAATGAACAGCACGAAAATGTGCAAAAGCAGCTTACTGAAAAAATACCTTCCTCCAAAGTATTGTTATCAAGAGATACGAAAGCTCGACACTACCATTGATTGCGAATGCGAGGCGTGTAACGTGCCACAGGTCATGTATGTCAGAAAGCTCATCGTTGATGTCTGTGGTCCTTGTTGACAGTCAGCTCGCGAAAAGGTCTCATTTCTCGGGTCCAGAGTCTCCAGACTTCCAACTCAGGGCAGTAAGGAGTATTGCTCGAGGTTAGCTCGGGGGTGGTTGCACGATACGGTGACATCGTAATTTGTTGAGGTCACACAACGTGAGCGGCGTCCTGGTGGTAGTCCGACGGACCCTTGAGGCCGAGAGGATCGGAGAGGCCTGGGATGATTGCTGCTTCGGGACATGAACGAGAGCTACGCGTATCCAACAGAGATGCCTCGAACGATTGCGACTGGTCCACAAGGCGTAGTACAGCAATCCCTGGCTATAACGATCCTCTTCATAACGATACCCTCTATATAACGATAGCGCACCCTTGTATTAACCCTTTCCTCCCCTTAAGTTATCCTATACTGCCTATAATAATATCGTTATTAGCTACTATATATATCGCTATTAAGAGGTTATCTTAGCTAACTTACGAAGCCCCTTTATAGACTATTTACTATAGCCGAACCGCCCTTAAAACGTCGTCGCTTTATAATATTAGACTCTTAGAGACGCGCCCTCCGCTAATACTATTAAGAGTATTAGGAATTAAAGTATTTAGAGCTAGCTAAGTAGTTTAAAGAGTAGTAGAATAGGCCTATCGGGTAGGCCTTAATATTAATAATCCTTTTAAGTAAATATAGCTACGTAGATAACTTTAGACTACGACGTTCTAAGTAAAGTATTAGGATCGGTACGTTAATCCTAGAATCTTATTTAGTACGGGTACTAAGCTTAAGTCCTTAGTTAGAGCTCGTTAAAAGGAGAGAGTCGGTAGACTACTAAGATAATCTTAAGATAGAGGTTCTAGTATAATTATAAACTAAATAGTAAGATTAAATAGTAAGTTAAACGCTATTATATAAACTATAATATCGTTCCTATATAATAAAGGAGATTCGTTCTTTATCTAAGTAGTCTAAGTAGTCTAAATACTAAGTAGTCTAATTAGCCTAAGTAGTTAGGCGCTTAGTTAGGCTTTAGCCCCTAATACTTAGTTCGGATTACGTACTAGGCTACGCTAGCGGAACG